CACACACACACACACACACACACACACACACACACACACACACACACCACTCAGTGAAAGCTGAGCTGGGCTCTGCAACACAGTGTGAGAGTGTGACTTACTAAAGTGAACCCAGTCTCATCCAAGCATACACTCACACATTCAATACAACCTCCCCATCCAACACCCAGAGGACACTTGACTGCTGTCCTGCTCATCTTAAGGTGTCCACACAAAGGGCTGTTTGTTACTACAGCATGTCCCCTCACTCTGTCTGCTTCCTGTTTGTCTTGGATAAAGAGAGATGAGGCCCCCCTGAGCTGATGAGACACTCTTCATATGGTCCCTGGCTGATTCTGCACTGTATTTTTTACTATAATTAAGTTATTTTTGGACTTAAATGTTCCGTAAGCACACATTCAGTATAATGTAACAACGTTGCTGTAAGAGCCATATGAGACTTTTCTTCTTCTTTTAGCATATATTTCTTTTGGTAGACTTTTTCTATGCAAATTCTGAACCTTAAAAGTTACTAGTAATTATAACTGTGAAATAAATGTATTACTATAAAATGTATGTGCCTCTGAAATGTAAAAGAGTATCAGAAGAACGTAGCATGATTCAGGCTCGTGTTTGATGATTGTCACGGTTGAGACACTGGTTTACTGCCGTAGGAGGAATGAACATGGAGGAGTCTGTCCATTCTTAGTTAAAGGCTCTGGTCTCGCTGTCCACATTCCTCTCCCGTGTGTGTATCTCACTCAAGCCGCGATGCGTATCAGAATACACACATTTGAGTAGCATCACGTGATATGATTTACAACAACAATTGGTTGTTGTGTTTCCTGGACCGCTGAACCGCTGCACCTGTTAAAATAGAAGCACTCTGTCAAAATTAAAAAATTCCCAATTACCTATCGGCTGTAGGTCCAGGTCCGGATAAAACGGCGTCATAAATATTCTTGGCGGCTGACCGATTAACAGCTAACCGTTGACGTCCGTACTAAGGACATATTCAAATAATCTCATTTCAGAGAATGCAAACAGTGATTTTGTTTTTTTGACATTTCTGACTAAAACATAATTTAATTGATCATCAAAATAATTGACATATGCTCACCTTAGCTCTACAATGTTGCTTTTTATCTGAATCTGAATCTTGAAGAGTCAAATGTAATTGAAATAAATGGAAACTTATCAGGTGATCAGTGCCAATATCCAGTATTTTGTAGCATTAGAGCTTCCTAGTGTAATAAATAAGGAATGTACAAAATGAATACTACATTCACTAAAAAGTATCATGTCAGAGGTAAAGGCTTATGGACTGGCCTATATCATATATAGGACATCATATATCATATATCACCAAATAATAGTGTAAATTATGAAAGTATTAGTGATCAAGCTAGCTATCAGGCTGGCTGGCTTGGTCATTTGTGTGCAAGATTAGTTAGACACGAGTGTTTTTGTGGTCTGCGGATGAAATGAGATGGGCATAATCCTTCTCTGTAATTATGACACATAAAAACATAGTCATGTACTAATCTGTTATTGCCTTTTTCATGACATTTGTTACGTTGAGTCAGGTTGATGGACTATGAAAGTAAGCAGGCAGGAGAAAAGCTTAGTTTACACTCTACATAGGTAAGCCAGCAGGTGTGCGCGACAGAAAATTATGTAATTATGTTGCACGCTTGGTAGTTTCTTCAATACAGCATGGTGTTCATTTAGTAAATGATTGTGCCTTTTAGAGTAAAAAAGACGTTAAAGCGGAGTATGCTTTAGGGCAGAATTACTGTGATTGACAGGTTGTTACAGCTACCAGAGCCATATACAGCGTCTCTACATCACTCCTCCACATTCCAAATATGGTCACTTCTGTTCATTGGTTGCAAAAAAGCAAAGACGGCGACGGCCGTATTCCAAGATGCCGACGCCAAAATCGCCAAACATCAGTCCACAAACCAATGACAGACGTCACCATGACTGCGTCCACTTCTTCTACAGTCTGGTATAAACATCTTTGTGGTGCTCGTAGCTCGCGTGCTGTCTGCGGAGGCTTGTGCTACCGTGCCACATACAAGTCTAACAAACCTTAGTAGGGGAAGATATCCATGCAATACAAACATCCGTCAGACAGCAGCACCACACATACAGACTCTCACAATCATGCCTTTGTATCACTTCAATAGTTAATAATAAACTGGAAGCTTCATCCGGCGTTTGAAGCTCCACAGATGTGTAGGTGGCAAATGTCACACAGCCTGGGAGAAACAGGAAGTATAGCGTGAGAAGATCACGGGGCAGGAAGGTGTGGGCACAGATTAAGATCAAGAATGGATAAACGGATATCTTTACTGTCCTCAAAAACATTCTAAATCCTGCAGAGTCCAGACATGTGACCTATAAAGACTGGTAGTGGTGGTGACAAATGCAGTCCTCACTGAAAACTGAAGAGGATGATGAAGATCACCCCCAAGGGGTGCAGCTCTCCAGTCTTCACAAAGGTCTTATGCAAGTAAAGAAGTAGAATGGACTTGTACTGGATTTCTAGTCTTCCGACCACTCAAAGCACTTTAACGCTACATGTTTTTCACCCATTCACACACTGATGGCACAGCCTTCGGGACCACTTTAGGGTTAGGTCCCTCAGAAGTCATGTGTGTTGTTTGCATGTTCGTGTTCAAATCAATTTCAAATAAAACAAGAAGATTAAAGCAGGTCACGAACCGCTCGCCGGCTGCACATTCCGGCTCTGAGCTGCATCAGCAGAACTCATGGACGTGGCTCTAATTACCAAACAAATGTACAGATAAAATTAGATTCATCATCTTTTCTGAATCTGTCTAAGCATCAGCAAACACACATTCCACCAAAGAGCATGTGTTAAAGTTCAACTAACGCTCATACAAGTTTGTCAAATTATCATTGAGTTGATTTTAAGTCTCTGTGCAGACGATATATGAAATATCCCCTCATCAGTACAAGAGACCAGGACAAGTATCAGAACCCAGACAGCCAGCTTTTGCAACATCACAGGCCGTTCATACCATCAACTCTTAATGACTAATAAGCTGGTATTATTATTGTATTGGGAGTGTAGATACTGCATCAACTGCCCAACTCAGAACTGTAATAAATAAATACCTCTGGCTTCTCTTTTCTCTTCATCTCTGTAGGGAAGACGGGTGTTGGGTGTGTGTCTCACCTGTGTGGATTTATCTTTCATACACGATGGGTAGTGCACATGGGCGTCACGAGGCCACTGCCCAGTGAGGTAGGGTCCAGTAATAGTGCCCAGGGAGGAAGTTCGCCAAATGGTCCCCAAGCTCCGCACCTGCTGGGATTTTGTCCTTTCGACTGCACAGACCAAAAGACAAGAGACAAGATAAGAGACAGAGCAACATTAGCTCTATGAAATAGGAACACGAGTAGTGACAGAGAATCAGCACCTACAACTGAGGCTCTACGCAGCTTTTTGCTTCTTATGGCTCACTGTTTTGGTTTTGGGGTACGCTTTAAACTGGTAAAAAGCTCCCTGTACTAATAAATAAAGCTCCTGTACAACAGCTGCCCAGCACCACACAGCAGACACAGAGTCAGGTTGAGCTTCCTTTGAATGAAATAGACCTCAGCAGCCACATTGTTGAGAAAATAAAACCCCAAAAAATCTCATCCTGTCTCATCCTGTCTCTTTCTATTTTGCCCTGTCAGCGACTATGATCCACGGTGAAGTGCCGTGTTATGTGACCGGTGTGGCTCGCAAGTCTCCCTCAGCCTCCTTTGATCATCAAACATTCAAATCCGTTTGACAGAGGAGGAATCACAAACGGTTTGCTGCCAAGTATGTTTGCACAGACAAGAAATGTGGCTTGTTGCATGACAATAAACAGTGCAATAGTATAAGACATCAAAAAAATATATATAAAAATGTACAATGGAATATGACAAAACGAACAATATAAGAGTACGTTGGTATAAAAAAAGTCAATTTTTGTTATTTCACTGGCTCCAACAGTTGCTAAAATAAAAAGGAGTGCAGTCGTCATCGTCCTGAGAAAGACCACATCCACATCGTCACGTTGTGAGAGCAAAACATGGTGTGAGCATCCCTCCTCTGTAGTAACCTGGTGTCTTAGCTTCTGGTAGGACACTTGCTATAAATCCACAGGCTTACAGGTAAGCTAAGGGGACTAAATTAGACTTGGCCATGATCTTCCAAATATGTTAAATAGCTCAACAAAGGTAGTGCCTCTTCAGAAGGACTTTTCTAGACCAATACTGCAGTGAATCTAGTCGGCCTATAACGACCTAGCACAGAGCCCCCAGGCCTCCACAGTAGGAATCAACTAATTATCTGCCAGCTCAATTATCGGCTGCGATATTCAGCATTTTTAGAATTATCTGAATTGGTATTTTTACATTTTAAAATAAATAATATATTTAAAGAAACCGAATTTATTGTGAAAAGTAATACACACATCATTCTCCAAAGAGGCAGTAAAACCACTTCCAGAGAGGCCGCTCGAGGCTGGAGCTGCAGCCGGAACGAGCCTCCGGAATCTCCAGAATCACCACCTGGTGTGTTTGCTCAAACTGCCCTCTGATGCCAACTGAAACCGAATCACTGCTGCAATGAATGTCAGCCAGTGGTTTGAAGGACCGTAGTTTATCCGTGATCCGTACCGACCCCACACCCCCAACGGTTCAGCAGGGGAACCACAGAGCAATTACACAGCTTAACCATCATAGTGCGATACAAAGTTTTACTGCCAATTGTTATCGGCCGATATTTAATGACAATCAGGAGATCCCTGATAATGCTACAGTGTGAACAACATGTCAGTGTAGAAAGAGCTAGCAATGTTGGCAGCACCAGAGCTAATAGCTGACATACGGAGGTCCCATTCATTTACATCATGATGCATTCAGGCTCTGTTCATTCAAAATGTTTTGGACAAAGGTAAATTACAATGTTATCATCACCGTGTTGGCAAATCTCAGCAACTACCTTGGTTAGCAAATTGTTGTTATACGCATTAGCCATAATGACAAAGTTGCTATAAACAAGAAGTACTTTTTAATGAAAATGTATTTTTTATAAATACCAGCTTTAAAGCTAATGAAGGTATTGGTCAGACATTATCAGTAAGGCTGCACTGTGTGAACTATATGGACATTTGGGTTAGTCAGCTACTGTTTTCCACAATCTGCCCAACTAAACCAGCCACAACTATACTGCAACAACAGCTTGTCAGCAGTACACACCAAATATGGACTGATCTGATGACTAATCCTGCTGCAAATCACATTTATTTTAAAATGAACCATTGTGAACCACGTTGGTTCAGATAAGTAGCTCAAAGTGCAACAGGCCTACTACTTCCTGTCATTTGATGTGTGCTTACACGACCACAGTGTGCAGCTACCATCACACCACTGAAGAAAAACGGCTCTGGAGTGTTGTTTTTAGTAGATGCTAAATATCTGTATCTGAATGGAGGTCAGTGTTCCAGGGACATAATAACTACCTATGTTGAAAGGATATTCTGAGCCTTAGTACTGCAAACATGTACTGCTAGTGTAAAAAAAAAGAAAAAAAAAGAAGCTCTTATTCATGGCATTTTCTTATTTCTAATTGAATAAACATGATAAGAGTTTTTGGCACTACAGTTTCCATCCTGCTTTGGGTGATGTTTTTAGGATATTGGTGTCATGGACACGGGTTAGCTGTATGTCACGTTATATCACAGTTATTGTTATTACAAGTGATAGGGCTGCATGGTGGCAATAACAAGTGACAATTGATGATGTTAGCTCATATTAGCTATCTTAGCTTAGTCCGCACAATCCAAACAAAATAAACAACTGCCAACAGCCATTGTCCTTCCAACCATAACATATGCATCGTCACTGGTTAGATTGTAAAATGAGAACAATGAATTTGTATTTAAATTGACGATGACAGCATTACTAACGGCTAACAAACAAAGGTTCCGTTCGGTTACATTATGAAGCGTTCAGGCTCTGTTCAGTGAGTATTGGGTAAAAGGTAAATTATAACGTTATGATGTGTTTAATTGTAATATTGAAAAATGGAGTGTTGGTGAGAAACTTGAATAAACCCAGTAGTTTGAAGGAGATGTTTTCACAGCAACATAAATAGATATTAGAGATGAATTATGACCCGTTTACACTAGCTCTAAACAGCTTATAATACATCATCAAAACTATTAATGGCAAGATTTGATTTAATCAATAAAAATACAATATTTGATTTACTTATTATTTGAATTGTTTGTTTTTATGAAGAAAAATAATCCTACATATGACTATTAAAAAGTATAAGGGTAACATTTAGAATGTTTGATGGTTTACACTGACTTCAGAGCAGTTTGAAATTAATTTTGGGATGGTGGCAAAAAAATAAATAATAATCAGACAACAATATGGATCATTAATGATCAGCAATTAGTATCGGCGGCAACAAAATGTGATCAGGGATCTCTAAAAGCTATATTTGCTCCCTGATCTGATCCGTGGGTTGTATGTTCCGTTGCTCCACTGATCTACAGTACATGCATTGTGAATGGGACCTTGGTTTGCAGCCCACTGAGCTGCAGAGATGTAAAAGCCCCCAGCTGCATTACAACGAACACAGCTTCCCAACGCAACCATACGTTTCTAGAGTCACATTGTACTCTTAGCAACTTTCAGTGACATTTCAATAGACCTTTGAGGTTTCAGAAATCACGTTTGGACTTCCTGTGTAGTTGGTTGACAAAGACACAAGCCCATGACAAACATTAGAACAGAGTGTGCTGATTACAGAACATTTCCGTATTTCTGAAGAATCAGTGGAGCCAAAGGCCTTGTGTGATTTATGCGCTAGCTACAGCTGATCGGAGCCCATCTGGACTCTGGGAGTTCATTCCCACATTTGGTTGATGCTGAATACATTTGTGGGATAACAAGGTCATCCAGCATGACTTTGAGTCATCCGACCATCTCAAACCGCAGAGACACAACCCCACCAGGGGCTCATACATTATTCAGAGGGCTCTATTGAAAGGACCGGTTCACAGGTTTCCATTTACACAATGTGTCACTGTATGTCACACAGTATTACACTGTCGCTCTCTGGTTTTCTCACTCCTACACAATGAATGGCAGCGGAAAGTTTAAAGTAGGGCAGGTTGAGTAAAATGAAATGATGCACCTCCTCACAGATAATAATACTGTGAAGGTTATAGGGGTGGGAATCACCAGAGATCCCGCGATACGATATTATCACGATACTTAGGTCACGATACGATATTATCACGATACTGCGATATTATCACGATATTGCGATACCGTAGGCCTATATTGTGATTTATTACTTTTTTCAACTTCAAATTATGTCCCCAAAGGAAAACTGTGTCAACATGTCTTATCTAATAAGATAAAGTTTTCAGTCTGTTCATCTCACTTCAATCATTTTTATTGCAGCAAAATAGGATTGTCAAGCAGACAGACTGACCAACAATGTCAGAAATGTTGCATGAACCTGACAAACTGAATTGTTTGTATTACTACATAGTCCAACTTAACTAAATGCAAACGTGTGGACTCAGTATATGAACTATAACTTATATAAGTAGGATATAAGATTTATATAACTCAGTATAACTTGCGATGCGTGGACGTCGAGGGCAGAGAGACAGTTATGCGCTGCACTCTCCCCATGAGCCTGGCTACTGTTGGCAGATTTAACCCTGTTGTGAGGCCAGATGTCTCTCTTTGTTTTGACCAACTTCCTACCAATCACGCTGACCCGGGACCTTTGCTGACCTCACCAGAAAACAACTCAGCACCATCTAGTGGACTGAAAAAGTAATTGATTTGATTTTTCTAAAAAAAAATAAAATAAAATTAAAAATAAAATTAAAAAGAAAATCTTTTTTTTTAAAAATAGTTTATATTATTAAAGATCGATACTTGGCGTCCGTGCATCGATACAATATCGCCACGCAAAATATCGCGATACTATGCTGTATCGATTTTTTCCCCCACCCCTAGAAGGTTATAGCTTCTGTATTACAGTATCATGACAGTGAAACACTTTAGCATTAGCCAAGATAAAGTCTGGTCATACCAGCATTTTAAAATTACACGTCAAAATAAATTCCAGCAATCACAGATTTACTCACAGATGCAAATTAAATTAACACGACTCTTTCACATCCAGTTCAAATGTTGTAGATTTAGAAACATAATGTTTGAAATATGGCTAATGAATATTCTGCTGATCATTTTGTAGATTAATCATTTAGTCTATAAAATGTGAAAAACATTGTGAAAAATGTCGATCAGAGGTTCCAAGGGTGACGTCTTGAAATGATTTCTTTCGTCTGACCTACAGTCCAAAAAATAGGCAGTATACAATCGGGAAATCCTGCAAATATTACTGATTGAGAAGCTGGAACCCATTCTTTTTTTTGCAATTTTTGCTTTAAAGAAATTTGTAACAATCAATTATCAGTTATCTCTAAACTGAGTGTAAATACAATCTGTGGAACTGTTAATAGCCAAGCAGAATATACATGAAGAAAGTACAAAGAAGGTGGTTCAAAATGTGAGAAAGATTTTTTCTCTTTAAAATATGTAGGTAGTCTGCAGTGGTGTATAGTAACGAAGTAGAAATACTTCGTTACTGTACTTAAGTCGTTTTTTTGGATATCTGTGGATATTTTCTGCTGAACACAATATTATGCATTTGCCCTCTACATCCTCTCGTCGGAATGAGCATACTTATAAACGCACTGTTACAACTCCTTCATAGTGTCATATTGCTTTTCGGAGAATTATGATGATAAGTTCATAGTAGATGCAAAAGTATACTTATGTACAATATATTATGTTGAACATTGTTGCTCCTGGATGGATCACAGCCAACACAATTATTTTCAACACAGCTCCATGTCCTTGGTCATGGTGGCACAGCACTTAAAAGAATAAACTTCATAACTCTCAAAATTCTGACCCTTTGCTTTTTTATTAACAGCATTTACTTGTACTTTTACTTTCAATACTTAAGTACAGTAAATATCAGATACGTTAAGACTTTTACTCAAGTAGTTGTCAGGATCCCTGTCTGACCCATTGTGTGTTAACCTCTGTTTTCCCCCCCAATCTCCTCTCCTCATGTGTCTGTCTTTCCCCTGGTTGTTTTGTTGTGCCATGTGCTTGGTGTTGTTTTCTCGGTCCTGCCTCCAGACACCTCCCATTGCCACCGCCCTGATGGATGCACAGCTGCGGACAATCTGGCTCGTTACCCAGCAGCATATCAACCCTGGTCTTGCAGGCCTGGGTTGTCAGTCCGTATTGTCTTCTGCCTCGGTAGCCTCCACTGCCGTTCCGTAAGTTGAACCCCGTTGTTCCTTTCTGAACTAATCTCTCTCCTCTCTGCTACGGATGTAGATTACTGGTCGATCTGCGTACTCTCCGGTGTCGAGCCACGGGACATCACACCGTTGATCTGCCAACCCTCCGGTGTCGAGCCACGGGACATCACACCGTCGAGCTACCAGCCCTCCGGTGTCGAGCCACGGGACTCACACCGTCAATCCGCCTGCCCTTCGGTGTCGGACCACGGGCTCCACACCTTCACACACCTTCCTGTCTTTATTCTGGCCAAATAAAATCCGTTACATCGGACTCTGTCTCCTGTGGTCTTGCGTTTGGGTCCAATCCGTGAAATCCCGTGACAGTAGTATTCTAATAGGTGACTTTTACTGGAGTCATTTTCCAGTAAGGTATCTTTACTTTTACTCAAGTATGGCTTTTGGGTACTTTATACACCACTGGTAGTCTGACATATAATCGGCTCAAAGTTGACATGTCAGCAAACATTCGCCTGTTTTACATCCAGCAGCCACAAAATAACACTAGCAAGAGTTTTGTTGTGTTTGCCGATCTAATAAAAAGCCCATATTCCCACTCTCCTCCAACTCCTGAGAAAGATATCTGGTTCTTTAGTTATGCTCACTGGTTAGTAGGGCTGGGCGGTATGACCAAAAATGCATATCACGGTATTTTGTAAGATTCTGGCGGTTTCACGGTATATCAGGGTATTTTTTCCCCCGCGTTAAAGCATTAATTAATTAACGGCGAAAAGAACCGGCCGGCCAGCGAGTGGTGAACAGCTGTTTGTGTGGCGTGTCTTCCGTTCTGTCACTTCCTGTTTCCTTCACCTACATTCCCCTGGGTCCTAAGCCCCTCCAATTACAGCTTCTTATCACCCTCTATGTACCAACGTATATTTATAACAAATACCACACATATTACACGGTAATCAGCGTTGCATATGTGTCAAACCAAAATACCTTTTGTTCAGTCTTTGTTCATCCTGCATCGCTCTTTTCTGTTCTTTATGCAACGTTACTGGAGCGACAGAGCCTCTCCCAGCTGTTAGCAGACTGTTGTTAGCGAGCTGTACCCAGCATGCAGTTCGGCAGTGAAATTTTATAAATGTACAATTATTAGTGTTACAAATTGTTTATGTGTCACAAACTGTTGTGTGTGTGTGTGGTGTTTTGCCCTGTTAAAGAGCGTTAGTTGTGGGTTACTAATTGTTGTTATAAAGCTATAACCATGACTAGGGTTCCCTTTCAATACATTTAAGACAACTAGCTCCGACCGTAGCGCTTACAGTCTATTGTCTGATCCACACTCCAGAGCAGAAGGTGGCGGTAATGCACCAATGCGATGGATGCCAACCGCCATAAAACTAGAAGAAGAAGTAGCGCTGTGGCGAATAATATATTTTGCTGCCTGTTGAAGAGTGACAGATCCGTCAGCTGTTTGGTGCTGTGCCGGCCTGCCACAGCCTAATTTGTTCCACCACAGTTTTATAAGGAACCGAAAATATTGTTACACTTCTCAGCGGGTGCGGTCCACGCAGTCTGTCTGGGGGATTCGCGGGACCCGTCTCGTTTAGCTTGCTTTGTGGTTATAACCAGTCATATCTATACAAGCAATGTGTACAAAAATTGTTGACAAGAGCACAAAGTTCTGTCATAGATCTAGCTTTGTAATGTTGATGCATTTTAAATCTTCTTCTGAGGGACAACGCCCCCGGACCCCTCTAGAGGGCCCCAAGTCCACTCACCACAGTCTCACAAAATCCTGTGGGAGACACTGTATGAATATGTTGTTTATTGCAACTATACATTTTGTATCGACCTGTTTAAAATGCCTAAAGTGACTAATGACCACAAGGATATCGCAATAGACTAAAATGTCCAGTAGCATGAACGGGACAATGAAATGAGGAAATGATGTGAACTCATCTATCTGTGTAATATGTCCGATAGTGATGGCACTAGCAGCCTTCCATACTCCCTCCCTGTGTGTGCTGGTTGTTGACAGGTGTCCAAAACACCATGCTCAGTGGCAGCCTGGCGTACATCCATGCCCCACCTTGGCCACCCCCGATCACATTGCCCTAAACACGCCACTGCTACCGGCCATGACATAAGAGTGCAAAGATGCAAAATGAAGCTCATAGAATAACACTATGTAACATCTCCATCCAGATCAAATGTAACACATTAGAGCTAACAGCTCGTCACAAATGTGTGTAGTGACGATGTAGTACAACATATGCAACAAACAACATTGCTTTCCTTTTTGTAGACAGCAATATATTCTCATTTGTTCATGTTTGGCAAATAGTATTTGTACATACATGCATGTAGTAGCAGAGGCTGGCCTGTGTTTATGTCTCACAGACTGCTAGGCCCCAATGTTGCCATAGAGCTACCAGCTGACGACATTTCTTTTCCGTTTCAATGATGGTAAACAACCTAAATGTAAAGGCTTACTGAGAAGCTTTCGTTGCTCACATTAGATTTTGTAAACCTGGCCAATCATGCCTATAATGTAGACCAGTGAGCTGTTTATCTTGGACAGAGTAGCTGCATCATCAGCCACACAGGCATCCACATCCTGACGTGTTTACCTCATCGCGGCAGGGTAATGACAGTGTAATGCAAGAATTACAACGTTCATTTATACCCTTATAATCGCAATTAGAACACACTGGAATAATAACGTGCACCAAAAACAGCCTCACATCTGTAATGTGCTAAAAATATTACCGATATTATGATAGCCATTGGAACATGGTTGCGGGAGCTATTGTGAAAATATAAGTTATGTTTTCCGAGACTATTGTGCAGCTTCTAGATGTGTTAACGCTTCAGCGTCAATGATCACATCGCGGATGTATTATGACCCATTTAGAAAGCTAGCCAACTAGCCGAACACCTCGCCCCGGTGAGGAGAGTAACGTCGTAGTAACAGAGAGCCGCTCTCCTAACTTACTAAGGAAAACACGACATTTATAGGTGGTCGGGCTTATTAGGAAAGTTATGCAAGTAAAACACATGTCATAGCCTCTGTGTGAATAATGACTGTCCGCTTTACAATTCGGTTCATATTTAATTTACAAAGTGCGCTCATTTGAATACAAATTGAATATTGTTGAGCTGCTTCGCCACTAACTTCTCTCACCAAAACACAACGTGGCGCCTAATGGCGAATGGTGGGGGAAATAGTTAAAGATGACATTTTATTTAAATGTAATGTTAGATAGTGAACTATGCATAGGCCGAACATAAGAGTGGCGTGTGTTTGTTTGAAACCACTCTTGGTTCAGGTTTTTAAACTCAAGGATCGTGTTGATTAATCGCCGAAACCTCCAAATGTCATATTTTTCAAGCTAGTTTGGCGTGACGGATAAGTTAGCACCGAGCTATCTGAAGGATGACGGTTACAATACAAGATACACTTAGATGTACTTTGAAGGACTGACTTACCTTTGGAAACAGGCGAGTGGGGAGAGCTTCTGCTGTCCGGTGGTGAAAGGCTCTGCCTGGGGACCAGCCTGCCGTCTGATCCGCTTCCACCCGGGTTGGCGGGACTGGAGCAACGGGACGTCGTCGGTCCTGTGTTGCTCCCGGCTACTGACAAGGAGCAGGAAGCGGAGCGGGTTGGGATGTGCTGACTTCCACGGAAAAGCTGGTACGGAACCGTGGCGCGGATAGGTGGCTGCAACCGGACCGCGGAGGAGTTGTTGCTACAGGACGAGCTGGAGGTTGTTGGGGAGCCGCTGTGTTTAAGTCGCTGCTGGGATGAGCTGGCTGCTGCACGGGATGCTGACATGATAAGCCGTTCAGTGGACACTGTAAATGTATTGTTAAACAGCTCAGAAACTAACTTTACGGTAATGTTTTCCAGCACACGACCTATAAGCTATCCAATTGACTAACTTCGCCAGCTACTTAAGCTTCTGAAGTTAATTCATGTTGTCCAGTTCAAAACAGTCTCCACTTTACATGTCTGCAATGTTAGCGACGAGAACTAACGTAAGTTAATACTTATTTTTTCGTGTTTGAGATCAAACACAAACCTCCCGCCTGTCCTGGTAACAAACATTATGCAGAAACATTGTTTTTACCGCATTACTTAGTCAATGTGGTCAATTTCGCAACTCAGGACTCCTCTAACACAAGTTAAACGGCAGTAGTCAGTTGACACAACTAAACCCAAGAGGTTGGACCATGGGTGCACCCAAATCATTACGACTCTCTGATTGGTGCTGGACTACTTCCTGGATATGTCAATCGGTTGTTCATTGGATGTATGGAAGCTTTAACAAATGTAAATGAGCGTCAGGTTGACTTCATGGTCTGTTATTGGTTGGTGACCACTGCCATAAGGTCATAAGGTGAAAATGTATTATGTGCATACCCTCAATGGGCATTTAAACAGGATATAACATGTTAACCATGTTCAAAGACAACATATGAAGTGAATGGCCTTTCTTCATTACAGCAAAACATAAACACAATTTCTATACATTTTCTGCTCCTTCTTCATTCAAAATAAAGAAAAAAGTTATACAATTTAAAGTAAGCCCAAGTCAAGAACATGTCCCAAGTCAACACCAACAAGTCCCAATTCAAAGCCAAACAGTCCCAAGTCAAGACAGGTAAATCCCAAGAGAGGAACAAATGCCATAAGTCAAGTCTCACATTAAGACGATAAAGTCAGAAATCAAGGCTAACACGTCCCAAGTCAAGGCCAAAAAGTCTCACATTAAGACCATCGAGTCTCAAATTACGGCTAAAAAGTCCCAGAGTTTTACTGACTTTATCTCTTGTTGCACTTTGCTGCTGTAATCCTGCAACACTGTGGGACTAATAAAGGGTTATCTTATTTGATCAATACAGGTAAGTCCCAAATCTAATCCTGTATCAGGAACAAGCAGACCCAAGTCAAGTCTCAAATCAAGGTGGTTCAGAGGGGGTCATCCTTCAATCAGAGGATCGGCGGTGCAATCCCCAGGTTCTCCGGTCCATGTCGATGTGTCCTTGGGCAAGACACTAATCCCCAAATTGCTTTTTAAGGAAATTTACAAATATAGTAAATTCATTTATTACCTTTAAAGAAATGTTTAAAAAGAAAACGGTTCCAGTGCGCCATAGTATGTTATCCCTGTAAATGTTTTGCATGCTGATGTTTTTAAACACAGCCACAGGTCACCCTTAAGCCTAATTTCTACTTCTACTGAAAAGCTTGGGCAGAGCTCACACAAGGCCACAGAGATGGTTTGTGACACGACGTGCACCTTCTGACAAATGGGACTGCACGCCAGGCACCGCAGATGGAAGTTTGATTGGACATCAGAGCCGGGAGAAGGGTTTTGCAGACAATTGTTGTCACAGATCCGCCCCAGTACTATGTATGTCTGGCATAGGCCAGAGGTACACATCTATGTCATCCGATTCATGACGAGTCTGACTTGAGTCCAAGTCATGTGACTCAAAACCATACCTCTACAATACACACAGTACAATACATGCTAGTTACAATAACGCTAAGTTGTATGAGGTCCAAAAAATACATCAACCTTGTATTACTGGGTACATTTTTTTATCATATACATACACACATCCTTTTTTATTAAGATATATAATTAAATGATACATATTGAATGTGATATAATCGATTATAAAACATTTCTCTCATATGCAGAGACAGTCACAAATTAAAGTCACAAAAGACAAAACTCTTAAAATGTATTTGTAAATGAAGTTGCCATCCAGAGTTACAACCAGCTGAATATGTTGCCGACAGGTGTGAATTTTAACTTAAGGAGTAACATGGTCTAAGAGAAGATCTTAGTGTTTGCTTCTAAAGGACTGTATATTAAAAGGCACAGCAGGTTTGAAGAGACCAAATTTGACTATATACAATCAAGAGGTACAAATACAGTACTTGGTAAAGTCCTGGGTAAAATCGTGACTCTATGTAAATGCATTTCCTCTTCTCTTTGTTCACTTCAAGAGCTCATATTTACAGTAACTCAAAAGAAGCCTGGTGAAGAGGTGAATCGAGTCAACAAGTTATCTGTCGAGAACATGATTCAAATCAGGATGCACACATCAATCTAGTCAACAACCCCTCCGTTTACCTGCAAGAAAACACAAGAAAGTTTACCTGGTTTATGCAAGTACGTGACCTTCCTAGATTAAAAATGATATTCAGGTAAGGGCTGAGACTCAAATAAGAACAAAAGCAGGCCGTCGATTACACAGCCTGGCTGAAAAAGAATGAACTAGACTCATCACTCTGCTGCTCTGAGTTTTAACATACATTATAGTTTCTTACAATCATTTTCAATCGCTTCCACTCAGCCGTTTTTTTACAATAAAAGCCTACCAGGAAGGGGAAGACATTAAATGTGAAATAACAGAGAAGGTAATATTGACTTTTATTGACGGTAACATAAGGTTTTAAAAAAGAGCAAAGGAGGACAGACTGTATGTGAATGCAAACATTGTTTTTTCTGTTAGAAACTCGGAGCCACAGAGAGGAGAGTATGACACAAATCACTGGGAGGAGAACCACAACACTCTTCAGCATCAATTAAACACTCCTCAACGTTTGAATGTAACAATGAATCATACAGCTTCATCTCTTAGGTATAGACAGAGTACAGTACATGCTGTCATGGCAGACAGAATGAATAATACAATAAACAAAAAGCTGGCACAAGATTCTGCTGGATCAGAAGGAGGGCCAAATTCAGGGAGCTAAATGAAAACATGTGAGATTAGGAGGGAAGAACTGTTGTAAAAGAGTCAAAGCATTAGTTACAGGTAGTGCTTTATATAATGTCTAGTATATAAATCACATCGTATCAAATTATTACACAAGAGCTGTAGTTAGTAAAAATAGTGCTACTGTGTTTTCCATTCATGATGAATGCTATTTGTTGTCCGAGTACTAAGCTTCTGTGCAATCAAATATAACAATCACATAAAGGACATTTCAGTTTGAGAGAACCTGGTTTCTGTAGTTCTGGCAACCCTCCATGTCTGTAATAAACAGCCGGCACTCTCAAAAATGATATCCGAGATCTGGCAAAATTGAGGCATCGCTAAAAAAAAGTGTGACGGGGCAAGAAACAGCAGTCAGTGGACGTAAAACTGAGACCTGAACCTGGCACGTACCCGGGTCTGCAAGACCCAGCCCAACTACAGAGACCTGAAGCTCTACCTATGCTCGCAAATAAAGACACGCAGACCCAGAAGAATGGCACAGTTAGAGAGAGAAATGTCTAAAACATTTGAAAACCAAACATGAATCCAACCCAGGCCTGAGGCCTAAAACCTGATCCCCTTTGACCTGGGCCCATGATCAGATGGGTTGTAACCAAGGTTACCAGGTTAAGCCAACATATTTGAAAGAGACAACAAAGGTGAGCAGTAATATTATTACCCAAACTTTGTCAAACATCAGGTCTTTCAATGTTTTCCCCGTCATCAGTTGTACAGCCAGTGAAATGACGACGCTTCCTTTCCAATGATTAGTCTTTGGAGTTCAATGCCACTGCATTGAAAATGGATAAGAGTTAATAACAGAAACGTTATGTTTTGCAGTTCCACCACTTATTTTATGTTTCATCTAATCTTGTAAGCTTCTACTTGTTCATAATGCTACAGAATCACATGTACTTGTTCAGTGTGCTGCAGGGCAGGAATCCCTCAAATATCCAACAATCAGACGAAGTTCCCCAGAGCGTGAACTCCCGGTGCCGATGCCGATACCAGAACCCTAACCGACTAGGCGCTGTGAAGCACAGAGTTTTCTAAAGTGAAGTCGTACTGAAAGTTAACCAGGTTGTAGTTCATGTCCCGGGACAGCAGCACATCGGGGATGAGGGGGAGCCCCGCCTGTGCGGCCAGGACATGGGGGGCCAGAGTGAAAGGGACGTCCCCGAGGAGATCCGAGAGAGCCGAGGCCTCCACCGCCAAAGTCCCTGCTGCTGTGGCTGTGAGAGGAAACGCTGCGGGAGCTGGAGCCGGACATGAAGACTGTGAGGAAACGGAGACACACAGTTAATGTCAGTGTGCAGAGCTCAGCGGTTATTTTCAGTGGCTCTTCTTTTTCGAAAAATCAAATATCACAATATTTTTGACCAAATACGTATACGATATTTAAGGTGCTTTCACAAAATATTTACACAATGAGATTTTTAACAATAGTCCAACAGGTTTTGTATTTTGGGGTATAAAGACAGGGCAGTCTCTCGGGGTAGTTTTGTTCCATTCAGTTATGACTGTACAAGCTTTCTTTGGAATATGATATTCTCTCCTCAGTCATGTTTTAGATGTATTTTGCGTACAGTGCTGCACTAAGATGCACATTCCAACATGCTGTTCCTAATTAGTGCAGTTTGCTGAACAACAAAGCTTTAGTGCCGTCATGAAATGAAAGACTGTTGGTAAATGACAGTAAATTCCCATTCTGTGATACATTGTGGCTGTAAAGAAGCACATGGAAGCAGTTTCCCATGAGTAGAGACTTTATGTGACATCGTGTTTATCCCACTATTGACTTTGAAGCAGGTAGGCATTGTACTGTGTGTGGAGGAGTCAGCGCTAAGGTGTGGTCCATACCCCTGCTGCCGTGGTCGAGACTGCTAACCCTCTGCTGCCTTCCCCTCATCCAAATGACCAGAGGCTGAGAGTTAGCGTGCAGCAATGAGTAAAGACTTAGTCCCCACCGTGGTGTACTGTGGTAGTGGATCTGGTTACAGCGCATGCATTAAACCGCAATGTCCCAGGTTCAGCTTCTGCCCTTTGACCTTTGTTGCATCCCCCCTTCCATTTCTACACTGTCCTTTGTGAAAGGCATAAATACAGTGAGAATCTGAAAGAAGCGTACTGAACATGGACCTACACAACATGTCTTCAAAGTCACAGCAGCAGGGACTTTAACCCTCTGAACCCTGAAACCCGCTGGCAGGGTGGAAAAGCATATTTTCTTTAAACAATCGCTAATACTACACCGTTCATCACAGCCCAAAGCTGTCAAAACGTTCATAATAGTCAGATTTCCATCTTTCCGATGGTCCTCAAACACATCATGTGTGACGAACACTTCTGTCCGAAAAACAAACAGAAACTAACCTTAAAATTGTAATATTTCATCAAAAACATTTTATTCTACATGTCATTTAAAAACTCGCCCTGAATTAACCGTTTGAAGTAAACAGATTCTGTAAAAAACATAAAATGATTAGCTGCTCAGCGTAACTAGGGAGCCATGACTGACTCAGCTGAGACCAACAGTCATGTGACAACAATTCAGTGAATCTTTGACTGAACTGCAGGCTGCTAAACACAGAGCAGAGCAGAGCAGAGAGGAGAGGCTGGAAGTAGTACAATATACATAGTAACTTGCATTATTTTTGCATCTGAGTTCTCTCTACTTCTAGTCATGCTTGTGCTGTTTCCATAGAGGTGCATGACTTTTATATTGCAGTGAAAATCAAAGCTACAGAGAGAGAGTATGACAGGAGAGGAAAACAACCTGAATCTGCTTGTGTTCAGAGGGAGAGACAATGCTGTAACAGTGAGGGTGGATATGCAAAGAAAACCTCATGAAGTCTTCTAAATGTTGGGGGTTGCTTGAGGAGTTGGACTAATGTGGGGGAAGCTTACACATTCTTTCCACTAAATCTTTTCTCGTAGCTTCAGAGAAGAGCGGACATGAATGTGAAAGACATCCAGAGTGGGAGATTTGAGACGTTGTTTTTGTGCTTTGGCATGTAATTAGAGGCAAATGTGAGACTAAATACAGAGAAGATGTTGTTACAGGAAATGATTATTCCTCTGCAATTAAGTGCCAGAGGTTTCCTTTGGGACTGGAGCACAGAGCGGGTGGAGTGACAGGGTCCCAGATCTAGTTTCTGTAATGATCTGTTTCTATGAAACAAAGCACAAAATAAAGATGCTGCACCTGGGAATGATTCTGATGTTAGCAGTGAGTACATAGTAACTATGTAAACAGCAATCATTCTGTCATAGTTTCCTGCATAACTTTATGAATGTAAGTAAAAAAACCTTCCATTCCCCTCATTGGTTTAATGTTATTATGTTAAATCCACATCTAGGTGAATGTAAAGACATTTTGCAGGACGACCCAATTAGAAGTCAGAGCTACCCCCATTGTGGTAACCGCCCTGCAGAGCAGCGACTAGGAGTTATTTACTTTACACACTAATGTATTAAATCCTTATTTTCTCTATTAACTGATTAATCATTTTGTCTATAAAAATATAAATAAATAATGAAAAAATGCCCAAAGTGACATTTTCAAATGTCCAACCAACTGTCTAAAACACATTAAGTTTCCCCACATTTACCATGAAACCAGCAAAAGCATTTTAGCTCCAAAAAATAACTGAAACAATTAACGATTAACCCAATAACAAAGGAGTCAATTACTCTTCTGTCGAATGACAGCTCTTTGATTCTTTGAATCAAGTGCTCCATCCATCATGTGATGGTGCCTTTATGTACCGTTCTACCAAGGTGATTGTAACAAACAGGCAGGCAGAACACGGAGAACTGAGGCCGTACAGTGGAGTGTGGTGTGGAACGGGTAACACGTTATCAGGTTAGTGTTCACGCTTCAGAGTCAGCAAGCTTTACACATGAGTTGTTCATATTTGTAATGAGCAGATGAATTCGAATTTTGAAGCATTTTAATATAATTCAAATGAAGTTATGCAGCAGTAACTGATGAATGATTTTATTATGTATCGTCTGTCCTAACGGACTGTGTCCCAGCCGTGCAATACTCATCCTGCTGATTTAATAGCAGGGAGTGGGTGTAAAGAAAGGTGCAGAAGACAGCGTCCTGAACTCAACAATGGGATTCACGAGTGACCATTAGGCCGCCGCGATATGAGGATAATCGTCGACGTGCAGAAACATTGTTCAGTATTGCGATGACCCAAGGTGTGCACATAATCTAAATGAATATAGAGGAAACACCGCACAGCAGCTGTGAAGAACACTTGTTTTATCTGTGTGGGTGTTTTGACCGTGTACGCTTTGGAGTGAGGTTCTCAGGGCTTCCTGTTGTACCATGTGATTAAAAGCTAGAGGGATGAGCCACTCACTAACTGTGTGACATCATTGCACGATGCCATATGGACTGAATGTTTGCATGTGTACACGCACGCAAGGCCAGCTGGTGATGCACACAGCTACAGGCTTAAAGCTGAATCACTCAGTATACAAAGATGAAAGCTCTGATTCATGAGCTCCACCATGGAGACCTTAACACGCTCACCCTATATGGCTGCACGATGACGTTTGTCGACGGCTGTGCGATGATCATGGTCTGCATCTTCCTCCTCTGCTCCTCAACTGTCTCTCCTGCAGGAGGAATGTGGCAGAAAGTAGGTTATTAACAAGTTATTAACAATACCTATTAAAGGTGCAATGTGTAATTATAAAGAAAAAGGGGGCAGCATTTCCCCTCCACTACTGAGTCCACACAATCTAAATGTACATTCATCGAGACATGAAAAGAAAGCACTTACTAACAGCAGCAGGGCAAGAATACACAACATTCAACCAAACTGAAACTCTGAGAAGATCAATATAACACTGCTATCTTCTACGTTAGCCATCGGTGTGTTTACTGTCACACTACCCAGGGCTGTACGGTCTGTGTCCACTTTGCTAGTTTGTTTATTGGATTAAATCCAAAGTGGCAGAAACAAGAAAAAATGACTCATGTTGTCGTTTCGTCCTCCTTGCCACCAGGAGACAGAGCTGTGGGACATACATTTTCAATTAGCAGAAGTGGACATAGTCACAAGGTAGCCCCGCCCTAAAGCATGCTCCTCTTTATGGTCTATTTGACTCTAAATGGACCATCATTTACTAAATGAACATCATGCTGTATTGAGGAAGACTTGAAACCATAAACTCATGTTGACAATGTTTACTGAGGTAATAAATCAAGAGAGAAGTAGTAATTTTCTAATAGACTTCGACACAGGAGGAGTCACCCCCTAACGGCCAGTAGAGAGAATGCAGCTTTAAGGCACTTTAGTATTGGCTTCACTTTTCAGAATTAAAGGTTACCGCCTGGTTAGCAGCTGTAGCAACTCTCACTAGCACAGCCGGTGAAAACCGGTGACCCAGCTCTCCACCAGACAGCTGTGACTCCCAGCTCAGGGTCCAACCTGTGGAATGGTAGCAACAGACAGTCTGCCGATCCGGTGGTGAGTCAGGGCAGTCCTCTGGTATCAGACCCCGGGGCTGGGGGTTTGCGCTGGCTGGATCTGAATTGCTATAGCTAACTGAAGGTCTACCGCTAACTGAATTGATTTACAGTGTTTTTTCTTAAACACAAAGCAGGTGAATGAGGGAGATTATTTGTGCTGCTGTACAAAAGCTTTTCCTGATCACAACAATGGATTAAAAATTAGGACTGCTGAGAATGAGCAAACACAAGTACCCTGAGGTGGAGTCTGTGCCTCCAAATCTGAGCAGCTTTTATCCTGAGATTAGGAACTGAGGTTAGCTGCACATTGAGCTGCTGTCACTGAGACGATTAATTAGATCTTCAAGAGGCTGAAACGCTGAGTGAGTGGAGGCACAAAGTAAAAAGGGAACGCTGTGATCCTTCCCTCCCTCTCAAAGGCCAAACTGACTTTGTGCACAGAGTGAAATCCTCCACACTGATGTCATTGTCTCAGCTCCGTGTGCAGCTTCCAGATGGAAGGACGGTGCTTTCCTCAGGGATTCAACGAGCCTCTTTGTGTGCGCATAGATGCTATCTTCAACCATCTGATCTGATCCCACATCAGCTGAGATCGTGTTTCTCACAAACTTCTCTGCAATGTTTACTCTTATTATCGCTGCATGTTTGGGGTTTTATTCTAACATGAAAACAATGTGTTCACTTCTGTATTTGGTGTACTGTATTACAGTGAAATATTTATTTATTTTTTATCCTGGGTTTATGAATAAAACAATTTATATACAATGCACATCATGTGGACATTAACACTTTAACAAATTAAATCTAAAAATCTGCAAATGAATAACCTCATTGTCATTATTTCATCTCAAATCCAATGTGCTGTAATACAAAGACAACACAAGACTTTCCTCTTAAAGGACCAGTGTGAAGCATTTGGGGGAATTAATTGGAGGAAATGCAATATAATATGAATAACTATGTTTCCTTAAGTGTTTCATCACCTGAAACTAAAAATCGTTGTGTTTTTGGGAGCTTAGAAGGAGCCGTTTATGTCTACATACCTGTCCTCTTCATGGAGTCCACCATGTTTCTACAAAAGCCCAGAAGGGACGAACTAGCTCTAGAGAGTCTTTCACGTTTTTTAGTTACTTGAAATTCAAACTGTGGTAACGTGAGCCACCAATAGATGACACCAAATCCTACACACTGTCCCTTTAAAAGGGAGAGTTGTTGTTGTTTTTTGAAGTTGTATGAGGTACTTCTCCATAGTCATTGTATTAGTACAGTAGATGGAGATTGGAGAAACAGACAGGAGCAAAGCAATGAACTGCTGTGTATGTTAAGTGTATGCTATATTTAGAATGTTTTTGACGGGTAACTGAAATGAAAGTAAAATGTATTTATGCTCTCTAAGAAGCTGCCAGACTCTGTTGATAACAGTATAGATAAGTTTCATTTACAGTTCAGTTCCCCGTCAGAAGACATTCTAAATATAGCGTACACTTGGTATGATAATTGTTTTTTTTTTAGGTGTCTAAAATACATCCACAGCAGTACAATGCTTTGCTCCTGTCCGTTTCTACAAAGACGATGGAGAAGAACGTCATACAAACACACTAACTATCCTTTAATGGTCCAGGAAACATCACGTAGCCACTCGACTGCTTTAAGAGAGACTTGGAAAAAAGCCTGAGCATGTCCTTTAAGTCAAAACAGCAGAAAATCCAATTTAGCAACAACATTCCTATTAACAACTGAAATAATGTTTTACAGAGCAAACAATAAATGATTTTACATATAATAGACCAAACCAATAATCGATTCATTGAGAAATGTCAGCATTCATTTCAAATGAAAATAAGTTATTTGCAGCAGTGCTTTCCATTAGAAGTGCTTTCCATATCATATTAGAACGCCTGACTCTTAATATTTGTAAATCATGTTTGAAGATATATTCGTGTAAACCTTCAAGCTCTATAGGAGCGACTCTTGTCTGACACCACAGATTGTGTTGTTGTTAAGCCTTCAGACTGGTCTCTGTCTGGTAGCACTGACCACCAGCCTCATCCTGCTGGGACTTCCCACAGCTTCGGCTGCCTAACTTAGTGCTGCACCGGTTGTTGAGTCCTGTGTGGGACCGTCAGCTCAGCTTTGGAGAGGATCTCTTCTGCTCAGTTGAAATCCACCAGATAACACAGAAGTGAAGAAAACTTTACATTCAAGGCAAAAAAAGCACACTTCAACACCTTCCCTCCAACTCTGAAGAAACCTCAGCCATTCACCAGGACGCTGCTGGTTGTGAGGCCGTCTATGCTACGAGGAGGTGACTAAATGTTAAGCGGAGCGTGACATCAGTTGGTTGCATCAATGTGAAACAAACAGCCTGGCTCTGACACTTGTTCTCTGCCAAAAATAACAGGCAGCTCCTGACCATCTGTGTCGGCTCCTCCAGTCAAAGTGACAGCTAGTTAACGGCAAATAACACTGCGCGATTCTGTGGACTGTTGTGATTTTAGGTAAGAACAGTTAGGAGAATGTAGAATCAGTTTTAACTAACAGGAACTACAAGCTAAATATTATAATAGAAATGATTCTGTACACATTCACTTTCATTGTTACGCCATAAAGGCTATTCTGAACAACAGTATAACCGAACTGCCAATCAAATGTTATTTCAGAGGTTGTAATGGTAAAGTCTTATGATAAGTTGTTGTCATGTGACCCAAGCATTGACTTCCTGTCCTCTGATGACAGGTGGGCATGTGATGTAATCTTAAGATCTCCGTACCTTGATGATGAGGACCATGAGATGCATGTAAGGGGACCTTGAGTTAAGATTCTGAAGTCAAACCAGAGACATTTCAGAAAGGAGACGGCCCACTGAGAGTCACGGAGACAGGAGACGTTAGGAGACTAGAGTGGCAGGACCAGAGTCTGTTAACTCCAACAGGAGACGTAAATGTGAGCACAGATTATGACCCATTCTATCGCTCCATAGTCACCAAAGTAAATATTGGACCCATTTTTTCACAAGCCACTTATCTTCCCAACATTCTGACACTAAAATGCCATTTTTTAAAACACAAATTTCGGGAGAAAATTAACTTTGTTCCAGACCAGTCTCTGTCTCAGCCACACACAGTCACACTACTGTCTCCAAGGTCAAGAAAGACGTTCATGCTGAAGAAACATGATTGTAAACAAAGTCACACGCTGAGGAAACAGACGATCATGAGATGTGGAGCACAGCAGTGAACCACCACAAACTTCCTGTGCTAATGTTTCCTTTTGTATTCTTCATCTGTAAAGCTCAGCATCTCCACAAGCTCCTAGAACTGTGAATAGAACTGTAGTGTACTACCACATGAAAGTTGACCATCTGAATGATGGTTTATCTTATCTATGAAGCATCACACCTGCAACATTTGATTCAAAACAACTGGAAAAATACATTAGCTGAGCTACATTCACCTTTTCCCAGTGACATGGTTGAAAATAACGTTTGCATCATTAAAGATCTTTGAAGTGACCAGTCACACAGTACATGCTTCCTGGGGAGCAATAAAGAGAATATCAAACTGAACTCCATTCAAAATGATGTCACTTTAACAATGCCCTGGGCAATACATTTCCAGATCATTAGGAGACACTCTTTGAGCAGTAATACATCAAGACACCACTCCTGCTGAGCCAGTGTAGTGCTTTAGATGTATAGAAAATGTTAAGAGACAAATATAATGTTCCATGAACAAACTGTCAATTTGATAGGATATTAGATTGCGTTTCTCACCTATGATAACAAAGCCTCCATCCGCTTCCTTCTCGGGTGTTGACTTCTTTGAGTCTTTCCGGAGTCCAAGGAAGCTGAACATGACTCCCTCTGTTCAAAGGAGACACTAGAGGTTAGACATCGCGATACGTGAGCCGACAGTGTTTGTGTGACCAACACGAAGAGCCATTTTGATTGTTGGGAAGAGATTAGCTAGCTACACTCAAAGCTCAACTGTCGCTGTGATATTACTTTAGTTATAGGTTCTCAACGCCGACATTAAACATTCAGCTAACACTTCCTGGTATATGTTTAGCTGATATATATCGACAACTAACGTTACAGCAAAGGACAGTAATAACGTATTAATTCAAAAACATTAACATAGGTGCGCTGTTTCCATCAACTCAATTCACTGCACGCTAAAGGTTTCCTTTAACAAAACGTGATAGTGACGGTCTTACTGTCGTTGTGTCTTGTTGTCCTCGGGTTCAGATACGGCAATACATTCAGTTCATGGTTCGCTCGTGTTTTAGTTAGTTCGGTTTACTTCAGCCCGTATCAGCTTAGCATGGCCCCGCTAACTATAGTAAACCACACGCTATAACCTAAGTTAATGAATCTTCCGTCGGTACTGTAACCGTATTATGTTATGACGCTGACGTCACTGACCATAATATGGTCCGTGTTCGTGTAGAAACTATAACACTACCTACAGTTCCTACACAAATCATGTTACCGGAAACATGTAGCAGAAGTATTGATTGTTGTTTACGGAAGGAAATGTCAGAGCACACCGGATATGTCGTAATAAACGTTGGAGGCGTTGGATTTCTCTTCCTGCGTTTGCCGTAATTACAAACCCGGTTGCTTTTAAATGTGAATGTAGAAACACCGCCCGCGAGAGCTTGTGTGTGATATAAAGTGTACAACTAAATATTTCCCGCGCGATACTGCTTTGTACGGAGTTTAGTAACGCCACAAACAGCAAACCCGTAAAGATGGCAGGTATACTGGATGTCCCAAAGCCAAGAATAACGTGCTCTTTGCTGTCGCAGTACATAAGCAGACCGGTCTGCTTCGTTGGGCGCGTGGAAAAGGTCAGTGTTGCTTTAGTGAGGTTTAGTAATAATGTTATTTTAACAGTTGCTAGCATGGCTAACGTGGCACGGCTAAATATGAAGCTATTCTCTCCTGCTGCGCCAGGTTCACCCAACGGGAAAAACGTTCACTGTCGCGGATGGAGAAGGAAAGATCGCAACAGTTGAACTTAACGATCCTGTGAGTAACAACACTTTCTGAATCCGTTCACTGCAATTCATCAAATTTAAGTTATTTGTCTTTGATTCATTTTCCGCCTAAACTTCTGAACCTTCAACTGATTTTCCAATAACTTAACCCAGACTTCAGAGGCCACATCTGTGATGTCATGGGTCCTCCATGTCCTTCCTTTCTGCCTCATAGTGTGTTGGCAACGATGGAGTGACTGTTGATACGCTGGGTTGTTCATTTAAAAGATTAACTCGTCTAACTAAAGAGGAAATGACGTGATCCAGCTTTTTTCAATAGACTCTTTAATGGAGCTAGCTCAGGCCAAATGCGTGTCTCATGTGTTGTTAGTATGACGTACAACCCAGAAGCTCGATGGATGATGATGCTGGACTTACAGATGTACTTCAACTCCACTTCTTTTCAGTTGTGTGCAGTCGTATGTTTCTAATGTGTAAAACAGGAAAATGAGAATAAAATGGAAAAGTTTACAGAAAATGGTTCAAATTATTTCCACTTCCACTATCTCCAACATCAGTTTGTGTTAATACGAATAATGAGTACTTTTCCTTCACCATTACTCAAGTTACTTTTTTATCTTTTCCAAATAGAGAAAATTGTTTTTTTCCCCAAAATATTTCTTCCACCACTGTATCCTAAAATAATATGCCATTAATACATTACTCTATCCAAAAGGCTAGCTTTATTTTCACTCAACATGGTGTCAATAATGGTATTCTAATCAGTTGTGTTGTTTCCCCAGCTTGAGGAAGGGCTGAGCGGTATTGTGGAGGTCATTGGCATGGTGTCCAACAAAGGAGTTCTGATGGCCAGCACATACAACCTGCTGCGAGAGGACAAGGGCATTCCTTTTGGTAGGTCTGCTTCATTATTTTTACATACGGTGAATAACAGCAGCAGTCATCGGTGGAGGTTTGAAACTGTGTTCTGTCTGCTCATCCCGCAGACTTGGAACTCTACACTGAAGCCCTGAAAGTCATCCATGACTTCCCGCAGCACTACCCTTTTGAAGTGGCTGCAAGTGGATGAGGCTCATCTGAGAGGGTTAGGTCTCTGGAGACTGATGTTTGGTTCATGTGCCCAGTGTTTGTTTTCAGTAGAAATAGATTTGTACAAAGGAGTCCGTAATGTCACGTTCTGTCAATAAATTAAAACCTGTAAAGACCAAATGAAGTGGAAAGTTTTTGTGTTTTTTGTTTTTTTTCAGCATGAAATTCTAAACAAGACACTTCAACAACCTTTTCAAGTTTGAAGAAATTATCTAAATTTAAAAGATTGAAGTCTCCCTTAAAACAAAAGCAAAGTGCCAAATGAAGACTTCCTGGAATAGTTCCTCCGGTCCACACTGACCATCATGAGATCTCCTCTTAACGTGATGTCGGCGTGCACGTATACATTCTAAAGTTTATCTGAAGCGAGCGTGACTTTTCACAAGATAAACAAATGGAGCAGCTATCTTCCACAGTTGGTCTCTTTCTGTACGTAGATTCCTCTTCGTGCTACTGTTCCTCTGTCATAATACTAATACTACAGTCATAAATACTATATTTGTCGAGCTAAAAAATCTGTCGGAAGTGTTGAGTTCATAGTTGAGTTTCATTTATTTGTTAGGTGTTAGAGTTTAAATTGTGAAATGCTGTTACTTTCAAAAGTTCAATTCCTTGTCTTGTGAAGACTAATAGGACATTTGTTTCAGTGCAGCTCTTCAAACACGTGTAAATAGTACATGTGAAATAAGAGAAGTGAAAACAATCATCACAATTCTACATTCAGACATGCATACTGTTATAAAGTCCTTAATGGAGTTGTGCTGCTCAGCCCCCCACCCAAAACTGATCACAGCATCATCCTTTTGGTTGTAGCACACTCTGCTGGTTCTGAATGGTCCACACATACAGACCTGCACATTCGTCTTAAAAAGTTCCACTGAAGTGATTTGGTGTTTTACTTACTTAAGTTGGGGGACTTTAGAGAGAGACAGATTTCAAATAAAAGAGTTCAGAATTGATGCTGCAGAGGCCGAGCCCCGCCCTTAATCATACCCTGCTTTATGGTCTATTTGACTCTAAATGGACCATCATTTACTAAATGAACATCATGCTGTATTGAAGAAGACTTGAAACTAGAGATTGAGACCATGAACTCATGTTTACAATGTTTACTGAGGTAATAAATCAAGAGAGAAGTAGAGTCATTTTCTCATAGACTTCGATACAATCAGAGGAGTCACCCCCTGCTGGCCATTAGAGAGAATGCAGGTGTAAGACACTTCCGTGTTGGCTTCACTTTTCAGAACCGGAGGTTGTCTTCTGGTGGTAATGTGACCCCACTATTCTCACATGATCTCGTGACATTGCGAGAGTTCAGCTAACATGCAAGGTCATTTCCAACCCTGACGTTTACAAAATTCAAATTCAGCTGTTATGTTGTAAATTGAACAAAGTAAATTCAACAGAACTACTTGGTTAGTTTTAGTAAAACATCAACATTTGCTTATAATATTACGATTGTTCTGTTAAGTTTAAATAAAATAAGTGCATTTGTAACATAACGTAAAAATAGAGCAGAGAAAGAAACTACAACTCCCATGAAAACTACAAGCGTGGCAAAGCGGCACTTTCATCTTTGTAACTTTTCTCTCTATCGCAAAAAGAACATCGTCTGATGTCTTTTTTCCATTTTTTTCTGTACTCTCCGTTGTATAAAAACCATTAGAGCCTTCGCTCCTCTCTGTCCTCCTGTCATTAGACGCGTCTGAGCCGCAACTTCTTCACTCACTCTGGAATCACCGCATCTTTAAAGCTGCCAACGCAGGCTTTCTGTTCCAAATGTTTAGCCTCATGCACAAACTGAGATAACCCTAAAGGTTCTTTTAAACTTTAGACGGATCCTTTTGAACTACAGAGTAGGTTATGCAACTGTCAAACAATTCTTCAATGAAACGTTTCTCTTACTGTTGATTATGTATTATCAAATCGGTAAATATGATCTGATCCAGTCAGTGTTGTCTGTATGTTGATACAGTTTGATTCCCTGGAATCCTGTTAAATTTAGAGAAGATAGTTGTGAAAGGTTATGAGATGATTCATGTATCTGCTACACTAATGTTTTTAAATGAATCTTTCTGTAATATTTTCTCAATTAAAACTCAATTACGACTCAACTTGTGACTGGGATTGTGAGTAGACGTCCAATTAAAGGGTCACAAGCCAAAGATTGGGAACCAATAGCCAACAGCTTTAGACTGCTATTTGTGGCTGTTACTAACTTTATCACTATCATGAAAACTGCCTGTCAAAATTCCATAACTGTAAAAGTCCATCATTCAAAATTTGAATGAAATACATTTTTTGGCAGGAATACTCTTATTTGTGTTCTTGCCGAGAGTAAGACAAGACTTATGAGAAGATTCAAAGACAAAAAACACAAAAAGTTGAAGAAAATAAATTAAATTAAAGGCATAGTAATATCAAGCTACTGTTTGCGTCATATTTTATACACTAATCATAGATTTGTTAATATGAATGTGCAAAGTAACTTATTACAGCTGAAGGATAAATGTAGTGTAGAATATTTGCTTCTGAAATATATTGAAAAAGAAACAAATAAGCATAAAACTCAATTTATTTTAGAATTATACTTGATTAAATGTTTTTAGTTATTTTTCCACCACAGTAATTGTGAATTCATTAGGACTGAAACATGTTCCGAACACAATAAAGACCTTTTCATTCATTGATTTGACTCTTAAAGTTGTTGAGCCACTAATGGTTGGGGTTTCCTTTGCAATATCTAATTTCACAATAACTGAACAAATATGTAATGTATTTGCCTGCACAAGATGTCAGACAGGACAATCTTACAGATTCATTGGAGCTTGTAATGAATCAGTGTTTATTTTTTCCAGAGCCCTGTGTTTAATGTACCTTGACAGGAGTTTAAATTGTAAGTGTCATCCTTCAGCGGGATGATGAATGCCAACCACTTTGAATTGTGACATAAAATGTGATCAAGGAGGAAACGATCTCTGTGTAATATATATTTATAGCAAACCGATGTATGGATGAGTATATCATTAGCAAAGAGGCGGGGCATCATTCAGCCTGCTGATGGGTGGGAGGGCAGTAGCCTGGAGGAAGTCAGCTGCCATGTTCCAGCAAGTCCAGACACTGCTGGTAATGTTGCATCTGCTCCATCTGCCTCCGTCCACGGACACTATCGCTTCCATCTCACACACTTTGTCATGGAAACATCTTCATTTTCTGCCATATCCCTGTCAAACCCTGCACACACATTCATTCGTTAATTAAAAAAAAAAAATCTTTTTCTTGGTTTACTTTGACTCTAGAAACCTAAAGCGTGTGATCATGATCTGATTCATTCGATAGTGTTTGAGCCTGCATTATATCCAGGTACAAACTATGGCGATAAAAAACTCTAGTGCTGAAACATTCAGTCAATTAAGTGATTAGTCAATCAACAAAAAAACAATTGTCAGTTCAGTTTGCATCACATATACAAATGCCAAACATTTGCTTCTTGCATGTGAGGATTTGCTGTTTTTCTGCATTTTATATCCTTGTAAAAACGAATTTATTTTAGTTTTACTTAGTTTTCAGAGTGCGTTTGCAAGTTTAGGTTTAGTTTCACAAAACACAGTTGGAGAACTGTGGAGTGGCCACAATGTTTCATGTTTAATCTTCGTACTTAATGTCCGATGTGAAGCGATGGCATCTCCTGGATATCTAGTCCCTTCAATTTCTGTTGTTCAACATCATGGGAGTTGATGGAAATTCATGCTGTCTACTTTATTTTGGTTGTGATGTAAAGTTGCTTTAAAAAAGAAAAAACAAAACTGAAATCAATTTACTTTCATTTTTATTATTTTAAAGGAAATCATTTTTATTAAGTTTCAGTTTATTACAAAATGTTTCACTGCTTTTAGTTTCAGTTTTCAGTTTACTTTACAGCCCTGACTCACCTATGGGCAATTAGAGTCACCAATGAACCGATTTAACCTGCCGTGCATGTTGTTGGACCCACGGTGACACAGGAAGAGCATGCTCCACACAGAAGGGCCCAGAACCTTACAGAACTTTACTGTGAGGCCATGGTGCTTCTCAGTTAAATATATAAAACACTGATTAGCGCAGCTTGAAGTTAGTTAACATTTTTTTTAATTAACCGTTTTTATGCAAACGATTTTTCAAAACTGACAAGTATTCATTGTTTTGATTCAGAACTTTGGACAAGCTTTGCATTTAGTTCTCGGTGGGAAACTAAGCTAAAGTGAAATTCTTGAGTTGAGAGCTCCTTTGGCAGAATGAGGCACGTTTCATTGCAGGTTTTACAGACTGACACCCCTGACACTGTCAAATAAAATGATCCTCTTGATCCTGTTGGTGGGTCGCCGCTGACTGGACACAGTGCTGACCTTAAGAAATCTATTATGTAGCCAATCCATCATCACACTCATATATCAGTGTAGGGCTGAGTCTGTTCGCTTTTGTCCCGCAGTGTCAGTCATCATCATGATAATGTCGACTCCCCTAAAGGTTTGTCACATAAGGCTTTTTTTTTGGAGGGCTTGATGTTTATGGTGTCATTCTGTTCTGCTTGTTAACCGTGACATGACCACAATAACTGTTGGACTGAACGGTGGATCTTGTAAAACTCACTGCGTTTAACCCATTACCATACTTCCAGAGATTATTAGTTCATATTCTGCATTCCAAGGTGGACACCGTGATTCTTTTTATTCAGTAGTTGCCCCCTGAATGCAGTCCAATGTGAGCCAACATGTCTGAGACAACCTCAGCATATCTATCACATGCCTATCAGGGCCCCTGAGCGGGGCTCCTGGGCCAACCGTATGAAGCTGTCAGGCCTGCCAAAGTGCCACGGGGAGCTTCAACAAATTATCCAAGAATGGCAAGTTCAGGAAGACTCCATACCTGCAAGCTCCTCATGTAAGCACTCATAGGCTCTAAAACTGTCTTTGTGGCCTGGTGCAGTAGATATATAGCACTGTGTGACTCTTTGAAGTTACATTTAAACAATGCTGCTTTAATCAACCAAAGTCTGTTTAAATTTGTGCCTTGAGAGCAGTGGCTTTTACCAAGTCTGAGAACTGTGTACTGATCAAACGGCGAGACATTTTATCTCATGA